TTATGACAGATTAAAATAGGTGGGGAGAGGAGACAAATACCTGCGAAGGAAATCAGAGTTTAAGGAGAGATGATGAGTATGTGATAATTGATGTTCGTGAATGTGTATGTCTGTGTGTATGTGTGTGCGTGGAAATTGAGAGTGCTTGTGAATATGTGGGCAGGTGAGTGAGTGGTTGAGCATAAACTGAGGTTACGTCACCAGATTGTTAGTGGATGGCCATGGTAAGACCAATGTTCTTACAAACTGTTTCTGGGCCCACAAGGAGGGGATGGGGTTGTGCAGACGGATAGCAATCGCCTTGGCAGTTGATAAAATTCTGAACTTGACCTCTTTGGATAACATACTCTTGACCGTGTAGAGAGGACGGAAAGCCTCAAGCACATTGACTGTGTGATTCAACTCAGTCAAATGGTTCGTAATTGCCGCCGCCCCGGTCCTTGTCAATCCTGGTTCAATCAGACGGGGTGATGCTCCTTGATGCGATCATATACATATATCGAATCATAGCATTGGTTCTTTATTGGACTCTGAAAGAGCTGTCCATCCAATGGTCATCCGGTGTTGCAAACAAGTTTATTCTGACGGAAATACGCTTCCTGGGTACAAGTATGTGAATGAGCTGACAAAAGATTACCGGATACACATGCCTGACGAGCGGCAAGAACCGCAAAACCGCTCGTGTGCTTCCAGGGAAATTCTGTCCGGTCATTCACATACTACTTATTATCAAATATATATATATTTCGACACAATAACCTTGAGTGCGTCATCGGGTGACGTTTGGATAGACAGCTCTTTCAGACCCAGTCCATTGAAGAATCAATGACATGATTCAATGTTTTTGTAAGTGGGGTAGATGCTAATAATTCCAACAAACGTGATTTGATAGTCATTATAGAACATTTCATAATAAGCAGTATGTGAATGACTGGACAAAATTATATAGTACTGGTTACTAAATTTAGTTCTCAGCAATTAGAGTTTTGCAGATTTAGTCAAAACAACCTGGAATTTCGATAGTGGTCAATTGAATGATAAGCAAATATGTCCCGATTCTCTCAACTCCTCGGTACGGAAGTCGGCTAAAAGCCAGAAACTAAAGTCCCTTTACAGATAACCAACTTCGATGATTTATCTCCGCAACTTCATTGCTTTCTTCCACGAATTTCTCCACTAAATGTGCTTGGGACTTGTTCTGAAGTTTCCTCCGTTAAATGTTGCAGTGTTAGAGATTTGGTTAACAGTTATTTAGGAAGCATATAGTAACGCTTGTCACTGCCGGCTGTATGCGCAACTCAAAGCACTTATTCGGTCCCCTAATTAGACACGAGTTCTTGATCTGTACAGTATGAGAAGAAACTCCCGTTCGGTTGAACATAACAACAAGTTTTGCGGGAAGGATTTTTTTCGGTGCTTCAGCGACCAGCGAAATGCAAAGCGGCCCGAAGTTTTAAATGTGGGCAGGGGAGAGTCCTGCTAAAAACGTCGATCATATTGAATTAGGATGATGTAACCGCGATAAGCCATGCGTGTGGTGTGAGGGGAGAGAGAGAGTTAGTAAACGGGGATCGAAGGAAAGAGCTTAACACACTCTGTTGTGAATAGATGGACGTTTAATTTTCTGAGATGTCTCTAACCTCGAATGTTGAGGTATGGCATGTGCTTTGCACCTTCAAAGGGCAAAGTGTTCGTTCAAGACTGGCAGGAGCCTGTGCCTGCACTCACCCTCTGTGGTGATCAGCTGGAAGTAGTTGAGGGCTTTAAGTACCTCGCGAGCTTGATCGCAGTTGGTGGGGGGTTTGGAGAGGAGATCACGTCACGAATAACGAAAGCTAGAGCTTTCGCCAACCTGCAACACTTGTGGTGCCGCCATGACATAGGGATATACCTTAAGGGAAGGGTGTAAATCTCCGCAGTTCGCAGTGATCTGCTTTACGGTTACGAGACCTGGCCCCTCCGCAGTTCGAATGCTAATCGACTTTCTGTGTTCGACCACCGATGTCTCCGAAGCATTGACGTGTCTGGTTTGAACATTGGGTGAGCAATGACGAGGTTCGTCGTCGTGTGTTGGGTGTGGATAGTGGCTCTCTGACAGAAGTACTCGCTCTACGCCCCCCCCCCGTTGGACATATATTGCTTATATCTGACCATCGACTACCTTTCCGTGCTCTCTTTGCACGTGCCAGGCAAGGCTGCAAGAAGTGCCCCGGGCGGTCAGACCACGATATAGCGTAGAGGTATGAAGAAGCTGGCCTCAACTCTGGCTTCGGTTGGTGCAGCAAGCCTTTCAGGTTAGGGCCCAAGGGATGGGGATTGTCGTTGGTTACGGACGCTGAGAGATATGGCCCAGAATAGAAGCCAATGGCGCGAATGCTGCACGGCCGGCCCGTTGAAATCCCGAGTCCCATAAAAAACCGATAAACAAAAAATATCGAAAATTATAAGGTNATATATACATATATATATATATATATATATATATGAGAGTTTGGTAAGAAAATGGAGAGGTAGTTATCTCGGAGAAACAAGCAAACCACCATCAGATGAATAGTACAAATCAACCAACTAAAGTATGCATTATGTAGTTATTATCAATTCATTTTCTGCTGTGTACTCATCGCACTGTTGTGACTGATTCGTCGTCCTGTTGTGTCCATTGTGCAGCTGAAAGGTTGAATCCTCGAACCAAAACAAACAAACAGCTCTGGGGAGGAGGAACGGATGTTAGAGCAGAATAATTAAAAAAAGC